CCCCTTCCCCCCCGCTCGACGGCTATTTTTGGGGAAAAGTGGGTGGAGTTTCGGAGTTTTAGGTAGGTTTTGGGCTGTGTCAACTGGTCTCAGAATCAAATACTATAGAAGAGGGAAGGTCGCGGTGGGGGGATGGCTGGTTGTATTGGGGGGGTCGCAATTGTGCATTGGTGGGGGTCGCAACTGGACCCCTTCCAGAAGGGGGGGTCGCCAAAGTTCACCAGGTTGTGGTGCGAAAATGTCGAACGTGACGTTGACACCTGTGGCGAATTGCGTGGCAGTTCGCACCCTCACAAGGGGAGTCTTCCAGGGCAAGCCGCGCTTTTTGGAAACTGTTTCCGCATATAGAGACGCATGTGTGGCCACGAAAACCACATTTCGTTTTCGCTGAACGGATTTAGTAGTAACAAAAAAGTGTGACTGTTACCCCCGATGGTCGCTCCGACCGCAAGCGACTAAACTTCTTTGCAATCAAGCGTTTGCGGCCACTTGGTGGCTTCAAAATGATCCTGACGATGAATATGACCCTTGATTTTGACATTTAGCGCGATTTGGCACCAATTCGTAGGCGCCAACCCAAATGCAAAATTTAGTCGCCACGGGGATCGAACCATTAACAGTACCTTATGCTTCTTTTTTGGTACTGCTAAACCGTTCAGCGAAAATGAAACATGGTTTTGTGTTCCCTACATGCATCCCTACAATATGCAAGAAACCGTTTTGAAAAAGCGTGGCCTTGCCCTGAAAGACCTCCCTTTGTTAAGGGTTCAGCCTGTTCTCCCACTAAGTCAGTTTCCCCTTCTTCGACCTTCGACCTAATCCTTCTTCAATATGCGTTGCGCACGGAATGGCCGGCTTTCAACTGCAGGAAAAGATGTTTTAGATTCCATGCTTTTTGAGGAAAAAAACAAAAGTGAAAATGTTCCTTCCGTTAAAAAAACGAATAACTAAACAGATTTAAAAAAAGATTTCGAATTCCCGCAGTAAATCTTTTTAGAATTTTGGCGGTGGAGATCTAACAATGCCGACATGTAGGACACGTGAAGATAGACGAATTTCTCTATTATACCTCCTCATTCACGCGGCGCACTCACAACCTAATTCGTTCTATGATCCCCCCCCCCCTTCGGATCGACCTTCCTACCAGGAGTGGGCTAAAAAATACTTTTTTCAAAAGCTCTGCATCTTCAAAAAAACTTTTTTTCGGAAACATTGTGAATGGCCCTTTATGACCACATACAACGCTTTCGCACAGAGAAAAACTGAACATATTTGCGTGCGCGATGCCTTTAACTCAGCGCTTGAATTGAGGAGCGATCTATGTCGCAAAGGCGACCGTGATATTACTCTTTGTTCTTGCTTAGAATTAGTGTTGACTCATTTATTTTTGGTCGATTATGTAATTTTGCATTCATTTCATTTTTTGATCGTTCTCTGTATTCTTTGTATTGGTAGGCGTACCATTAGGCTTCTGTAGTTATCTGCGTTGCGGATCTAAGAATGAGGAGGCGACGGCTAGCTTCTAACATTCCTTCTAACCCTACATAAAGGGTCGCCTCCGCGTTCAAGCAGGTCGGTTGATTTCTCCTCTTCCCGTTGGCTTAGATTTTGCTCAAGTTATCCCTCAAGTCTTAGCTATTCAAGTTCAAGGTTGGCAAGTCAGTACGGAGGATCGCAGAGTCATCTACCGAAGGAGAAGTAAGCGTTTCCTGAGAAGCTGAGCTCTGTACTGGTTTGTCTAACTTGGTGCTTTCGGATTTCTTCGTATAATAAAGTTCCACTTCTAGTCGTGTACTGATTTCAAGTGCAATACCGCGTGGCGTGGATTTGATCCATTTTTGGCGAGCAAGTACACGATCGAACCACCTCAAGTGGCGCTTCATAACCATACCTTCATAAAAATTCCTAATCTCTATGTGTCAGACAGATGGTCCTGCACTATCTGACAATAACTTACCTTTAGCTCCAACGTGGCGTCATCATCCGCGATAAACATTGCCTTCGGATGCATCTGAAAAGCGCTCACCGTCCACATATGGCTGATTCCACATTCTATGGCATGGTGAAGTGCCAGTGCTTTATGAGAGCCTGTGACCAAAACCATCACCTAAAAAGTAACTTCTGCTAAGCTCGTATTAAACCATATAAACTTTGGCTTCATTAGATCATGCAACCATGTCACCACATTTTGTAAAAGTTAACCTCAGATCACTGCACACTTGAGACCACTCTGTAAAGCGTAGCGTGCGTGAAAAATCGATATCGACTGCAAGATCGAGAATTTAGCGCCTTCTAGAAATATGTTCGGGCAACAGTGGTGAAATAAAGCACATGAACCGCAGGTTGCGCTAGCGTTGTAGACCCAGTTCGTCAGCTAAGCAGAGGTTACAGCGTTACGCTGACAGTAGCCAGTATCACCGGATTACGATAATTCAGTTTTGTTCTCGCAGCACTTCCATTGCAATTGGACAAACATGCTTTCAAAAAGCGCTATGATCTTAAAGCGAGGGATTACGATAAGATTGGACTGGGTTCATGGTGGAAGTGGAATGCTGAATAATGCCCCAGTGGCGAAAAAAGCAAAGAAATCCGTCAAGAACGCGCAAAATGGGACCCCTTTCTTTGCCCGTTGACCTCCGATAATGGACGAGCTAGCAACCAACTAAGAGGTCGTTTGCACATGTTAAACCGATAGCCACCATCATACCAGCAAAGGCCATGCTTTGATTGATAACGCATTCCATGGAAAGTTATAGGATACGCACTCAAAGCGGAATACCTCATCAAAATGATAATCGAAGGACGCTGCTGCTGGGGGCGGAGCACAGGCCGTGGCGGAGCTCAGAAAGGAATGGCAAGCCAGTACGCTGCAACTAGCGCACCTTTGGCCACAAAAACGCAACATTTCGTTTCCTTGGGCCCCTGACTACTGCTTCCACTGGTGCATGTACTTCCACGCTGCACACACACTTTATCGTAATCTCTCGCTTTCAAATGGAAGTCGACTACCTGGCGCATCCTCGAAAGCATCGAGCAGTGTATCAGTTTCAGAACGAGATTCCCATCAGAAAATGTTGCCGCATTAGGTTTTTTTTCATTACTGCCGCAGGTAATCAAGTACCTCAGAAGCTTGGTGAGAAGAATGGCACAGTCCGCAACAGTCCACATGAAAATCTACCCCGTCTCTGCTTGATATCGTACTGCGACCGCCTGTCAGGCGAGCTCGTTTTCATGAAGTTTTCTCGGACCATCCTATTTCTTTGCCGTGGGTCAACAAGTAGTACAAAACAGACACGAACTAAGCAAAGCTTGGCTACGCTAGGCGGGGCTTGCACTATAAGGTGACGAAAAAGCATGGCGTATAAATATAAAGCATCCGGCATTGACTAGTTCGCTATTGGGATGCTCCACGTATCCACATCCATGTAAGATCCTAATTGCACTGATTGTGCTTTGGCCTGTACAACGATTTGTGGTGCAATTCAGTGCATACAAGTTAGTGTTTCTCTTCCAGACAGTCTGGTACCAATCAGCTGAATTCAAAGGGTTGGAAGGCTAGGTTTTATCTGAAAAGCGGACGATCCAGGAGTTGATCCCGAACCGGCACGTGGTGAGCGCGCCACTTGCCACTACACCATTTCCTGCAACGAATCAGAATATCAGCGGTTAACGGACGTGCGCCGAATATGCGGAGTCCCCGATATGTTCCTGCCCCATACGGAGATCGGGAAAATCGGCGAGGTCGGCGGCCACATTTTCGGCTGAGTATTAAACCGGCACACATAATCGACCGAACTCTCACCTCTTTGGCATCCATCACTGTTTGAACACCTACAGTCAATGCCTGTGTCGGTACCATAGACATGTCGCCATTGAAAAATCGTGAGTTAGCCTGTAATCAGACTGTGACTGAAACGGCTAAGAATTCGAAAAACGAAAGAAAACACGAGTGAGAAATTGAACGACCCTCGCGGCAGGTGACCTGATTTTTCCTGAATCTTTTCCCGGTCATATTCTTAGGGATCGTTCCGTCCATACGAAGATTTTATTTTAGGCAACTTTTTGGAGTTCTTCTTGAAGAAGGGTTCATGATAAGATCTTTTAGATTTTCAGTGAAGGGGGAGGGGTGCTGACAATAAGGAATGCGAAAGTGGTGAGAAAAAGCAGAGAAATCAAAAAATGAAACAATAAAGAAAGCCAAAAACTCGCGAAATAGGAACTCCTCGCTTGCCCGTTGACCTTCGACTAAGAATCCGCCTGCCCTTGAAAGCGGTCGCAATAGCCCAGCCAACAATGTTTCGTGCTTCGATTAAAGGAGGAATTCACGATTAGAACGAAGGTCGAAGAAAGGGAAACTGACCTAGTTGAGGGACCCACGGACCTCCTGAGGGTGCGAACTGACGCGCAATTCGCATGGAAAAATTTGACCCCTATCATGCCTCAAAGCTGGCGGGTCCGGCGATCTCCGCCCACCGATCATCTGATCACTCGCCGTAGTTCAATACGTGGCGAGTGATTAGATAGCTGAGAGAGCGTAGTGTTGAAGAGGGCACAGCGATGAGAGTCGCATCAATGCTCGAATCAACGGGCAAGGAAGGGTACCATTTCTCGGGTTCTGGGCCGTTTCTCATGGTTCTTCCTTCTTTCGTGTACCACTCACCATCCCTAGGTTAATTTTGAAATGGGTTGCTTTTTCATCGTGAATTCGTCCTTTAATATCGTAATCAATACACAGAACATAGAAGGTATGGCCGAATTAAAGATCCTCTCAAAACGAAGAACGAACGATGATTTTAGATTTTTAGTGAAGGGGAGGGTTGCTAACAATAAGGAATGCGAAAGTGGTGAACAAGCAGAGTAATTAAAAAACCAAAAACAATTAAGAAAGCCAATTAAGAAAGTCAAAAACACGCAAAATAGGAAATCCTCGCTTGCCCGTTGACCTCCGACTAAGAATCAGCCTGCATTTGAAAGCGGTCGCAATAGCCCAGCCAACAATGTCCATGCTTCGATTGATATCGCTTTAATAAAATCAATACACAGCAAAAAATAGAAGGTATGGCCGAATTAAAGATCCTCTCAAAACGAAGAACGAACGATGCTGCACTTGGCAACACATTGGTGGGCGGAGCACAGACAGAGGCGAAGCACAGACGGGGTTCAGCCGCCTAGTGCTCTGCGGCTAGAACACATTTGGCTGATCGTGAGAAGAGACCACATCTCGCTTCCTTGAGGTCCTGGTTACTGCTTGTGCTGGCGCATGTGCTTCCATGCTACACACACACACTTGATCATTATCCCTTGCCTTGAACTAGCATCCAGAGTAGAACTTAAGTGCAATACCTCGCTAATTTTTGGCCGCACGCCAAAGGTGCTTGCCAGTCGTGCGTGATGACTTCTACGAAGCATACTTTTTTCGAAGTTCGCAAGTACCATACACATCCTAAATCTAGCCCCTCAACCTGGTTGGCCGGCAAAAATCTGTGTCATAAGGTGAATGGATGAGCTGAATATATGTGCAGTCAACGACAAAAAGTGTTGAAGGAGGATTCCACGGTAAGAACGAAGGCCGAAGAAAGGGGAAGATGCTTAGTGGCAGAAACTGGCGACCCGCCCTGGGGTGGGAACTAACAAGCAATTGTAGCGAAAGATTTGGCTTCGCGACCAGCATCGTCACTTTTGCGCGGTTGGGCGGTACACTCAGCCGACTATCTAACTCACCTTGCCGCGTTCTGACCCGCGAGTTGATGGGTAGAAGAAGAGAAATTAGCGTTCCCGAAGGCTTGCATCAATGCGGAGCTCAACGGACAAGGAAAGGATCCCATTTCTCGAGTTTCAGGCCGTTTCTCATGGATTTTCTTCTTCTGCATCATTCACCATCCTCAGTGTAATTCGAAATGTGTTGATTTTTCGTCGTAAATTCTGCCTTTAACACGTTGACGACAGCGTGACGCGGTAACGCGTCCCACTTTGCGCACCTCGTGGGACATTGTGACGCGGTAACGCGTCCCACCCAAGTCATCCCTTTTCTTGCGCTTGTGCGACTTATTCCTAAGGTCTTTGTACTCATTCTATAGGTCATACATTAGCATACTTAAAAACCACATGGCTCACAGAAAGGCCAAATATTCTTTAGTTTGGCAGACGTTTTCCAGACCTTACGGATATGTCTGTTCAATTCATTCCTCGTTTTCTTTTCAATAACGTAGACATGTTGATAAAAAGGAATAACAGAAGTGAATACAAACCTATTCGTATGGGAAGATATGTGTTTTACTGAAACAACCACGTCCAAATTAATTTTGGAACCACTAAAGGGAAATTAAGTAAAATTCCCTTTTCATGGCCTTAACACGTCATTTCGGTCAAACTTCCATTACTGTAACTCCTGATAAGCTAGACAGATCGAACATCATTGAAAACATTTCATCGCATCTAAGTATTGCGTATTTACAGCTCAAAATCCATGGATTTGGTGTGCGGCGGCTGCGCTCGCAAAATCGCTCTTGTCCCACGCGGTGCAAAAGCACAAAACGCGCGATGTCGTCAACGTGTTAACGGAATCATAAACAGTTATAGGGGATCCCATAAAATTCCAGTTCTACTGAAAGCTAGTGATGTTTCTATGAACTCCCTTCGTGGAGCTTTGGAACACTGTAGTTGTAAGAGACAGTCATAATTAGTGAGAAAGCTGGATATTGAATACCGAAGCGAATTCTGCCTTCAACGCATCGATGAATCGAAAAGCATTGTATTTGATTTGGGCAAAGTCTTCAAGAAAAAAAAACAATTGAAATGTACCCAAAAGGGATTTTCCATATGACAACTGAAAGTATTTATTGTGTTCACCACTATAGCACGCCAGTCACTTTTTACTCCATGGAGGTGGGATGGGAGTGGGGGGGGGGAATAAAAAAGACATTTTGTCTCCACATTCAGATGGATCTATCCACTCTATACATAAAACAGAAGTTTGGTGTGTTTGTCCGTCTGTTTGTAAGCAGTAGATTGCTACGTAGATCCAATGAAATCGAGCTCAATGGCGTCTTTAAAGGATCGTGTACCATAACGACCTTTACTGGAAAGCTAGTTCGAGGGGGTTTGCATAGTGGGAGCTAATGCCTCTAGAAAACTATCCAACATTGAATCGATTCACGAAATTGCGTAAGAGCTTCAGGCTGAAGCAGTTACTGTAGCCTCCGACGACGTGACAGATGACGTCATATTCTGAAGACGGTGAGGGCAGTGAAGGAGGGCCTGCGTCACTTATAGAGGGACACTTAGGGAATACTTGCTGAGGAACTTCCGTCAACGACGGCAATCTCTGCGAAGAAATTAGGGCCGACGAAAATAGGGGCCGAATAAGTGCGGCATGGGCAAAATGTCTTTTTTTGCCCTCTCCCCTGTAGTTCGATAGCTCTGGTTGACAAGATTTGGTGAAGATCATAGGAATGAACAGCAAAGATTGAGTTAAATATTCTCGCAGTGGGAGGTGGGGAGGGGGGCGTGAAAATAACTCTGCTGGAAGAGGAAAATACTGGAGAAGCTATACCTGTATCGTATCCGCATTGAGAGTTTTCAGCCGAGTACGTGATGAAAGCGAACTTCCAGGTTCATTAAATGCTATATGACCATCGGGTCCAATT